ACATTTAATTTATATAATGAAAGACCTGTTAATCCTGCCATTGACTTCTTCTTGCTTGTTAGCGGTGGCAACGATCTTTAGACTCATCTAACCTCTTACCAGGCTGACTGCAGAAAACTCCAGGAGGGGCAGGGACAAGACCAGTCACCCTGCACAAGGAGAGAGAGCAGCAGTGAGCAATCTTTATTACAGGAGGAGGCGGAGACAAGACCAGTCACCCTGCACAAGGAGAGAGAGCAGATGTGACTGGTCTTTATTACAGGAGGGGGCGGAGACAAGACCAGTCACCTTGCACAAGGACAGAGAGCAGCAGTGACCGGTCTTTATAACAGGAGGGGGCGGAGACAAGACCAGTCACCCTGCACAAGGAGAGAGAGCAGATGTGACTGGTCTTTATTACAGGAGGGGGCGGAGACAAGACCAGTCACCTTGCACAAGGACAGAGAGCAGCAGTGACCGGTCTTTATAACAGGAGGGTACGGGGACAAAACCAGTCATCCTGCACAAGGAGAGAGAGCAGCAGTGAGCGGTCTTTATTAAAGGAGGGGGAGGGGACAAGACCAGTCACACTGCACAAGGAGAGAGAGCAGCAGTGACTGGTCTTTATTACAGGAGGGGGAGGAGACAAGACCAGTCACTCTACACAAGGAGAGAGAGAGAGAGAGCAGTGAGTGATCTTTATTACAGGAAGCTCCAAGTCTCACATTGGATTACTGCACAGATCTGGAAGAAATAGACAAAGCTCACCATGATATCAGAAGAATATACATGACTCTAGTATGAGGACAATGTCTCCCGATCCCAGAGTCCAGTTTAAAGCTATGTTCCACACTTCCTAAGGATTTATGGTGATGTGATCAATTGTAACATTTAGCTGTTGAAATCTTTTTTTTTATCTCCTCAGAGACCATGATACGGAGATCTTGATGTCTTATTTAGATATAGGTATGGTCAGCTGTACTTCTCCTTATATTAACCTCTTCATCTCTCCCCTCCCCCCCAAACACGCCCTATGGAGCAGCAAAAGTGTTACATTTCTGCTATAAGCCCATTTATTAGGAAATAACTTTGTCATTACGTAAAAAAAAATTACAAGTGGATCTGATCAGACAAACCCACTACAAGGGGCCTAACTCAGGTCTGATCAAAGATTATAAACAATGTGGCTTTGTATCTCTCTATCTCCCCCTGATCAATGTCTGTAAACAATGTTACTTTGTATCTCTCTATCTCCCCCTGATCAATGTCTGTAAACAATGTTACTTTGTATCTCTCTATCTCCCCCTGATCAATGTCTGTAAACAATGTTACTTTGTATCTCTCTATCTCCCAGTGATCAATGTTTATAAACAATGTTACTTTGTATCTCTCCATCTCCCTCTGATCAATGTCTGTAAACAATGTTACTTTGTATCTCTCTATCTCCCAGTGATCAATGTTTATAAACAATGTTACTTTGTATCTCTCCATCTCCCTCTGATCAATGTCTGTAAACAATGTTACTTTGTATCTCTCTATCTCCCCTCTGATCAATGTTTATATACAATGTTACTTTGTATCTCTCTATCTCCCCTCTGATCAATGTTTATATACAATGTTACTTTGTATCTCTCTATCTCCCCTCTGATCAATGTTTATATACAATGTTACTTTGTATCTCTCTATCTCCCCTCTGATCAATGTTTATATACAATGTTACTTTGTATCTCTCTATCTCCCCTCTGATCAATGTTTATATACAATGTTACTTTGTATCTCTCTATCTCCCCTCTGATCAATGTTTATATACAATGTTACTTTGTATCTCTCTATCTCCCCTCTGATCAATGTTTATATACAATGTTACTTTGTATCTCTCTATCTCCCCTCTGATCAATGTTTATATACAATGTTACTTTGTATCTCTCTATCTCCCCTCTGATCAATGTTTATATACAATGTTACTTTGTATCTCTCTATCTCCCCTCTGATCAATGTTTATATACAATGTTACTTTGTATCTCTCTATCTCCCCTCTGATCAATGTTTATATACAATGTTACTTTGTATCTCTCTATCTCCCCTCTGATCAATGTTTATATACAATGTTACTTTGTATCTCTCTATCTCCCCTCTGATCAATGTTTATATACAATGTTACTTTGTATCTCTCTATCTCCCCTCTGATCAATGTTTATATACAATGTTACTTTGTATCTCTCTATCTCCCCTCTGATCAATGTTTATATACAATGTTACTTTGTATCTCTCTATCTCCCCTCTGATCAATGTTTATATACAATGTTACTTTGTATCTCTCTATCTCCCCTCTGATCAATGTTTATATACAATGTTACTTTGTATCTCTCTATCTCCCCTCTGATCAATGTTTATATACAATGTTACTTTGTATCTCTCTATCTCCCCTCTGATCAATGTTTATATACAATGTTACTTTGTATCTCTCTATCTCCCCTCTGATCAATGTTTATATACAATGTTACTTTGTATCTCTCTATCTCCCCTCTGATCAATGTTTATATACAATGTTACTTTGTATCTCTCTATCTCCCCTCTGATCAATGTTTATATACAATGTTACTTTGTATCTCTCTATCTCCCCTCTGATCAATGTTTATATACAATGTTACTTTGTATCTCTCTATCTCCCCTCTGATCAATGTTTATATACAATGTTACTTTGTATCTCTCTATCTCCCCTCTGATCAATGTTTATATACAATGTTACTTTGTATCTCTCTATCTCCCCTCTGATCAATGTTTATATACAATGTTACTTTGTATCTCTCTATCTCCCCTCTGATCAATGTTTATATACAATGTTACTTTGTATCTCTCTATCTCCCCTCTGATCAATGTTTATATACAATGTTACTTTGTATCTCTCTATCTCCCCTCTGATCAATGTTTATATACAATGTTACTTTGTATCTCTCTATCTCCCCTCTGATCAATGTTTATATACAATGTTACTTTGTATCTCTCTATCTCCCTCTGATCGATGTTTATAAACAATGTTACTCTGTATCTCTCTATCTCCCTCTGAACAATGTTTATAAACAATATTACTTTTTTGATCTTTGACAGCAGCAGCTTTTACAGCTCCTGTATGTACACAGCATCTCCCATCTGTCATTTTGACATCTGAGAACTGCTGATAGTTGTGTGGGGGGAGCAGCAGTGGGACAGAGACAAGGAATACTATATACTATACCTGTTTACTTGAATCACATTTTATGGGTAAGTGTAGCACTCCCAGTGTTTGAGTCTCTGTTTTATTGTTTTTTATTGCCATCTGCGGCCCTTATTACAGAAGCTGCCTCTCACTTCCTGTGAGGACAGGAAGTGATGGTGAACCTCTACAATGGGGACACAGACGAAGACATAAAACAATGGCTGCAGTTTGGCACTCAATAGCTAATGGGATCATTGGTTTGAAGACTTTGTATTGGCACCTGATGCATAGAAATTATACTAATAATAATAACCCCTGTCTTCCAGTGATATATGCTCTTCCATTTTTCCTTAGCTCACAAAAAGCTTGCAGAGCCTCTGGCATGGAACGGACTGCAGGACAAGCACATAGATGAAGCTCACTGGTTCCGGAAAATTGGTGAGAATGGGGCCACTAGCACAGAAAGACATCTTGTGGCTTTAGAGCAGACTTCACAAGATGCATCATTGTACTAGTCACAAAGTCTCTTCTGTGCCCCTCTCTGGTTTAGTTTCACTTATATTTACATGGACCTAACCTTTTATGACTTGATGGCTAAGCCCCACCACCTCCCTGTCCGGTAATAATGCCTGCACTGACCACTGAAAGACTTGTACAGAAAATAGAAGAGCCACACTGGAGTTCGAAACATATTTATTCCAGAAAAACAGTCTAGATATCATTCATTCTATCACAGTTAACGCATTTCGGAGGTTTTAATATTCCCTCTTCATTGGGGTTGATAAGCTACTAAAGGGGCAGAAGTGGCTGTGACAACTAGCTGCCAGAAGAACGTGCCTTTTGTAAGAATTTTTTGCGGAAAAATCTTTGTTTTATCCTATTCCCAGAGTTCAACTTCCACCAGAGTATCAGCCCTGATGAAGGGGGCAGATCGAAGCCCTCATGTTCATTGGCTAGAATAATATGAATTACACTTGGACTGCTTCTATGGACTCTTTTGGGACTTGTGGTGTGGTGCTTATATTGTCTCTGCAAACCTTTTTCCGCAGTGCCCACAGGTCCTTCTGGGCTCATAAGCTACCCTTCCCCGACCTGGGTTGGCATATCTAAACCACAAGGTGCACGCTACCTCATGCCAGCAGATGTTTTGCGGGATCCAACGGCCTTCATTCACCTTCCCTGGCCACTGAGGCATGCTCAATGGAGACTGGAATGGCAGTACGTGGGGATTAGCCTTGAAATCAGAGTAGGGGAAACCAAACTAGAGCGGGGGCACAGAAGAGGTCAGTGGGCATCATGTGGTGTCTGCTCTTAGGCAACACTGAATATGTTCGAATCTTATCACTTTAAAATATATTACCAATATCAATGTATTGATGTCTCTGTAATAACAGCATGGAACTTGGCTGTCCGGGCTAAGGAGTCCCCTCTGTTGATGAGAGACTGCTTTCTTCTTTCATACAAGGTACCCTGGTGACAGCAAGGGTGGGGAACGGTTGTGGATTCCAGCTTTGACCATGTTTCTTTCTCCCAGATCTCATTGTTCTGCCCTTGTGACAAGATAGTGCTCGTGGCCCAGAGGTCGTGTTTATTGATGGCGGCCGCACTGGACCTCGAACTGGCAAGGAAGGCCGCAGATCACTCAGAGCAGGTAGAAAGTTGAATATGTATTAAACTAGCACGTTTCCTGTAGAATTCTCCTTTATGTTTAAGTCTCAGTGTTTGTCATATTACATTTATAGCAAACTTATCTTTACACACTGACCAGCTTATTTCAAACACTAAACCCCTAATTATCATACAGACCGGGGTCTACATGTGGGAGCCAGGACTTCTTCTCAGGGGACCTGTAGGCCATCTTATTTCTATTTTCGTATACACACGGTATAGTATCTTGTGTGTAGTAGATTTGGTCAGTATAGGTTCATGGGCTTTTTTCTTGCCATGGGTGGAACCCCCAGCAACTAGCCTGTAGTTTTTGATGTATGTTTCAGGTTAAAGGAGAACTATGGGGTAACTGTTTTTCCCCATAGTTCTCCTAAGTGTAACGGGAGGACACAAACTAGCGTCCTCCCGTCACCCTAAGCTCAGTATCCCCCGAGCCACAGCTCGGGGTATACTGAGACGCCGCAGCTGAAACGGATCCTGACAATTATGTCTGGATCCACCCAGTTGCGTGAGTGACAGCTGGCTCTGCCTATCTAGACTCAGAGCCAGCTGTACCCGCCCCCTCCCCGTCCGTTCCGCCAGTCAGCGCTGGAGGATCGGGGGGAATCCAGTCCCTCCCCTGTCACAGCTCTCTGCCGTGACAGGATCGAGAAGTGAGCGAACGCCGGTATGTGTTCGCTCACTTCCCGTTCTACTGAGCCGACCTGTGACAATGAAACTGTCACAGGTTGGCTAGAACTATGAGGATGAGTGAAAATCACTCACCTCATAGTTCTCCTTCAAGCCTAGTCCTTATACTGTCTGTGCCTGTTGGAGATTTTGCTCACTTCCAGTCTGATGAAATTGTTATCAGGGAAACCGGAAGTGAGGGAAAATTTCTAATTATGCCTCTAGACAGGGGAACAGGAAGAGAGGACAAATGTCTAATGATGCCCCCAGACAGGGGAACAGGAAGAGAGGGCAAATTTCTAAGGATGCCCCCAGACAGGTGATACCAGCAGTGGGCTGGCTTTCGGGAGGAGTTATGCAAATATCAAAACGCCTTGATGGCTGCAAACCATCAAGGTAAACCACTTCTTTTCGATGTAGTTCAGCATGTTGTAGACCGGGTACTAGCACTTGTATGACGTAATAATTCTTCTGTTCTCTGTACAGGTTCAGCTCCTTGTCCACTCATTGGAAAACATTAACTTATGTCGGGAGATATGGAATAACCTGAAGTCTGCAGGTATATCACATTTATACAGTGTTATAGGAACAGGTGCTATATGTTCCCCCCCCCAAAAAAGCTAAACAATTATTGACCAGATATTTACCCTGAAGTTAACCTGTGGCCAGGCTATAAACATTTACATATTTACATATTCTAAGTTCTAAACACTCTCTGACCTCTGTAGCTGCAGGCATTGTGGAGAAATTCATCCAAAAGCACAGTCATTCAAATTGATTGCTTTGCCACTCAGTTCCTCTTGCTCTTCATTTTGAGTAGCTCAGCTTCCCCTGCTGCCCCTTCACAGCAGCTCAGCTCTCCTCTCCTTCTCAGCAGCTCCGCTCTCCCTGCACCTCCCTCTCAGCAGCTCAGCTCACAATCCTTCTCCACCCTAGCAACTCACTTTTACCTGCACCACCTTCTCAGCAGCTCAGCTCTTATTGCTCCGCCACCCTAGAAGCTCACCTTCACCTCCTTCTCAGCAGCTCAGCTCTCCCTGTTTCATTTGTGTCTTTTATATCTGCCTGGAGTTCAGCGGTATCTCCTTTACCCTCAGGTGAATTTTCTAATGACGACACTGAAACCCTCTTAGTGCTGTATGAGTTTGAAGTCCGAGCCAAGTTAAATGATCCAGCACTGGAGAGCGTGCTGCAGTATGTGTGGGAGCTGCCCAACGTCAATGCCAAGACCATGGAATCCATTGCATGTGAGTGACCAAATGTCTACTGCATGGAAACTAAACTCCAGGATCAGAATTATAAACCCCCTTTCCTCCTTGTTAGAGGGGTAGAGGTTAAGGTTAGAGGGGTTAGGATTAGAGGATTAGGGTCAGAGGAGTAGAAGTTAGTGTTAGAGGGGTTGCAATTAGAGGATTAGGGTTAGAGGGGTTAGGATTAGGGTTAGAGGGATAGAGGTTAGTGTTAGAGGTGTTAGGATTAGAGGATTAGGGTTAGAGGGGGTTAGAATTAGAGGACTAGGGTCAGAGGAGTAGAGGTTAGAGGGGTTAGAAATAGAGGATTAGGGTCAGAGTAGTAGAGGTTAGTGTTACAGGTGTTAGGATTAGAGGATTAGGGTCAGAGTATTAGAGGTTAGTGTTAGAGGATTGAGGTTAGAGGGGTTAGGGTTAAAGTTAGTGGGTTAGAACTAGAGCGTTAGGGTTAGAGGGGTAGAGGTTAAGATTAGAAGATTTGGGTCAGAGGGGCTAGGATTAGAGGATTATGGTTAGAAGATTAGGGTTAGGGGGGTTATAGGATTAGGGTTAGAATTCCAACTAGAGGTTTATGGTTAGAGGGGTAGAGGTTAGAGTTAGATGATTAGGGTTAGAGAATTGAGTTAGAGTTAATGGGTTAGTACTAGAGCAGTGGTGGCGAACCTTGGCACTCCAGCTGTTTTGAAACTACAAGTCCCATGAGGCATTGCAAGGCTCTGACAGCCACATTCATAACTCCCAGAGGCAGATGCATGTTGGGATTTGTAGTTTTGGCACAGCTGGAGTGCCAAGGTTTGCCACCACTGTACTAGAGGGTTAGGGTTAGAGGGGTTACAGGATTAGGGTTAGAGTTAGTGGGTTAGGGTTAGCGTTAGAAATTGAGGTTAGGGTTAGAGGATTGGGGTAGAGGGATAGAGGTTAGGGTTAGAAGATTAGGGTTCGAGGGGTTAGGGTACGAGTTGGTGGATTATAGTTAGAACTAGAGGGTTAGTATTAAAGGGTCAGGGGTTTGGGTTAGAGGGTTAGTGTTAGAGAAGTTAGATATAGAGAATTAGGGTTAGAGTTGGTGGGATAGGGAGAGAATTAGAGGGGTTAGGGGTCAGGGTTTGTGTGTTAGTGGTCGGGGTTACAAGTTAGCATTAGGAGTTAGGGTGTGATTGTTAGGGTTAGTGGGTCAGATGTTCGAGGTTTAGGGTGACTATATCAATGTTTTTGCTGCCTGTGTCCCAGCTGGGGAGATTCACCCCCTTTTCTTGTCCAACCCTTAGTGATGAGAAAGCCATAGTCCAGAGTCTATTTTATATTAAAATATGATCGCCACTTTGTATATTAGGAGGAAGGTATCGGTATAGTGAGTGATATGAACTCTTACATCTTTCCTATCACTCTGATTGATGTTCTGCTCTGGACTTTTTTTTTTTACTGAGATCAGAGTTTGAGAAACTTCCCATTTATGACTGTGAGCCAACTGGGTGCGCACCGCTCTGTACATATCTCCATACTGCATATGTTATCACGTGTTGTCATCAATATGTATGATTGGTATTGGATTATATGTATTTGGATATCTTTTTGTTTCCAGCTTTAAGGTATGTAGCAGTCTCCTATGGTGTCTTATTGTTTTATATTCACCGTAGGTCTGCAGGGGTCTGGGGGGTCCGGTCTTTTGGCTGACGTACATTTTAGTTGTATATTTACCCACAAAGGTAGAAATGTTGTATAATCAGCTTGCTGTGTCTGTATGTAATCACATGTAATGATTGCGTGTTTGTGGTATTATTATTATTATTCTCACCCAAAGCCTTGTCCATGGAAGCCCCCGCGTATTACCCATCTATATGCAAGAAAGCCCTTCAAGGTGCATTTTCACTTCTTAGGAAGCAGGACTCCCTGGATGTGTCCAGAATCAGGTATGATACCACAGAAACTACCCAACACGCTATGTGCTAAGTTGTTTAATATCCTAAACACATGATATATATATATACAGTATGTACATATTATATGACTGATGCCATACATGCATTATATATACCGTATATAATCACATTTAGAGTGCAGACAAGAAGTGGAAGTCCTGATTTTTCTGTCAGGACAGGTGCACTTTATAGTACTAGATGCCTGCCTATGGGGCCCCCAAATATATATATTGTAGGACATGTATTGGGTATGCATGTTATATGTAATAACATAAGAAATCCTGTTCTAGTGTGTCATGGATGAAGTCATATCAGTGATACGATCCGTGTTTTGTTTTCTTGCTCTCAGTAAGTGTCTGCATAGTCTGGTGAAGCTGAGCCTACCTGAGATGCTTCAAGAGCTGGAGGACTGCGCGCAGGAGGAAGCCTGGAACTATTACCAGGAGGCACTTTGTATCATCTCCACTGGTGTGAGTGCAGCTATATAGTGTGACGCCATGTGTCCCAATAATAATATATCCACTTCTGTTCTTTGTTAACAGGCTGACAGGACCACATGCTTAATGGTCAACTCCAGCTCTTGCTGCAGTACTCACCTCCTCTATCGAGCTTTCCCCTCGCAGTACCTCTTCTCCACCACAAGATGTCCTCAGTCTTCCGGGTCAAATACAATACTCACCTCCTGTACCAAACTGCCCCCTGCAATGCCTCCTCTCCGCCACAAGATGTCCTCAGTCTTCCGGGTCAAATACAATACCTCCTGTACCAAACTGCCCCCTGCAATGCCTCCTCTCCGCCACAAGATGTCCTCAGTCTTCCGGGTCAAATACAATACTTACCTCCTGTACCAAACTGCCCCCTGCAATCCCTCCTCTCCGCCACAAGATGTCCTCAGTCTTCCGGGTCAAATACAATACTCACCTCCTGTACCAAAACTGCCCCCTGCAATCCCTCCTCTCCGCCACAAGATGTCCTCAGTCTTCTGGGTCAAATACAATACTCACCTCCTGAACCAAACTGTCCCCTGCAATGTGTCCTCTCCACCGCAAGATGTCCTCAGTCTTCCGGGTCAAATACAATACTTACCTCCTGTACCAAACTGCCCCCTGCAATCCCTCCTCTCCGCCACAAGATGTCCTCAGTCTTCCAGGACAAATACAATACTCACCTCCTGTACCAAACTGTCCCCTGCAATGTGTCCTCTCCACCGCAAGATGTCCTCAGTCTTCCAGGACAAATACAATACTTACCTCCTGTACCAAACTGCCCCCTGCAATCCCTCCTCTCCGCCACAAGATGTCCTCAGTCTTCCAGGACAAATACAATACTCACCTCCTGTACCAAACTGTCCCCTGCAATGTGTCCTCCCCACCACAAGATGTCCTCAGTCTTTTGAGATGCTGTGTATTTTTCAACACAAAAGTTTGAGGACATCTTGTGGCAGAGAAGAGGTACTGCTAGGGACATACTGTTAGTGTAGGAAATCATGGACCTGCCCCCTGAGGGGGTGTCACCACAGCGCCTCACACACCCAGTTTAATGCAGATGGTGGCGCTGAAGCTATAACTCCCCCAACATGAGCACCGTCCCCCATCAGGAGAAGATCCAGGGAGGTGATGTGTCACATGATTGGCCTGAAGACATCTGGAAGCGTACAAAAGAACCCCCAAAATACTGGTGGTCCTTGAGAGGGGGCACAATCATTTCACTATAGATTCTGAATGTAAGCCCAATTCTTATTATTATATCTGAGCATTATGGGCTAGCTAAGGAGACACACAGACTGCTTTGCTGCTTTAAACCTCCTACTGAGATGTTTAATAGGGAAGGAGGCAAGCCTGATGACCCATTTGCATTTTTAGAAAGCTGGTGCCCCTGGGGCCACATGTAAAGCTTTCTGTAGCATTGCATTCACTGAATATTATGTTTGGCCCTTTCCTGATGATTGGGGCCACACTTGAGACCCCTTATATCACACACATTGACCAGTCTTTTCAGCAAAGAAGACAACAGCTCCACCTGCTGGCTGTAACGGAGATGACAGAATATACATCTGCAATGTTTTATATCTATAAGGATGAAAAGGTGTGAAGGGTTACAAACATTTATTTGTGACGTCCGTGTTCAGGAGGACTATCCAGAGACTGAGACGTTGTGGCTGATGACCCGAGCCTGGAACACCGGGATCTTCCAGTACAGCGCAAAGAGATTCCCGGATGCCGGACGCTGGTGTGCATTGGCCATGCGTCTGCTTGACTACCTGGGATCTCTGAGGAAGAGCTACGAAAGCAAGGTAGGCGCTGCGTGATGGTTACCTGTCATCAGTGTGATGTCACATATTACCTGCCATCCGTGTGATGTAACATATTACCTGTCATCAGTGTGATGTCACATATTACCTGTCATCCGTGTGATGTCACATATTACCTGCCATCCGTGTGATGTCACATATTGCCTGTCATCCGTGTGATGTAACATATTACCTGCCATCCGTGTGATGTCACATATTACCTGCCATCAGTGTGATGTCACATATTACCTGTCATCCGCGTGATGTCACATCTTACCTTTTATCCGTGTGATGTCACATATTACCTGTCATCCGTGTGATGTCACATATTACCTTTCATCCGTTTGATGTCACATATCACCTGTCATCCGTGTGATGTCACATATTGCCTGTCATCCGTGTGATGTCACATATTACCTGCCATCCGTGTGATGTAACATATTACCTGCCATCAGTGTGATGTCACATATTGCCTGTCATCCGTGTGATGTCACATATTGCCAGTCATCCGTCTGATGTAACATATTGCCTGTCATCCGTGTGATGTAACATATTACCTGTCATCCGTGTGATGTAACATATTACCTGTCATCCGTGTGATGTAACATATTACCTGCCATCCGTGTGATGTAACATATTACCTGTCATCCGTGTGATGTAACATATTACCTGCCATCAGTGTGATGTCACATATTACCTGTCATCCGCGTGATGTCACATCTTACCTTTTATCCGTGTGATGTCACATATTACCTGTCATCCGTGTGATGTCACATATTACCTGTCATCCGTGTGATGTCACATATTGCCTGTCATCCGTGTGATGTCACATATTACCTGCCATCAGTGTGATGTCACATATTGCCTGTCATCCGTGTGATGTCACATATTGCCAGTCATCCGTCTGATGTAACATATTGCCTGTCATCCGTGTGATGTAACATATTACCTGTCATCCGTGTGATGTAACATATTACCTGTCATTTCCTGTTGTGTGAGCGCGGCACCTGAACGGTCAGCGTCCTTGTCTGGGAGCATTAAAGTGGAACTCTGGGCATAACACAAAATGACACACATGGTGCCGCCTGTCAGTATCAACGCATTTTCTATTTCTGAGTCCCCTGTATCAGCTGATGATCCTCCCGGGACACCTCTAGCTTTCCACTTCCGGTGACAACGCTGCTCATTGTGAAGTCAAGTCACACAGCACTGTTGTCACCCTGTGGACAGACGGACGTTATGTGAAGAGGAACAAACAAATTGTTTTAGATTTGGCCCAGAGGGGTTACTATAAATACTTTGTAACAAAAGTGTTTTTTACAACGTATGTACCAAGAGTTATATATTATATTGGGTACAATCTCTGGACTACATCTCTCTGTGGGGGGAGGGGGTTGCTCCTGGTTGACGGCGATTCTCTGTTTTTGGGCTCACTGTGGTCTGTTTATAAACTCACCTGGAGTCCTTAAAGAGGAACTTTACTCCCTATCTTTACAACAACAACCAAGACCCATTCAGAAATGTTTAGTAATGACAATCTACAATCACATACTTCTAGTCAATTGCCGGCTTTGTATTCTTCCTCCGTCTCCTCACAGCGGCCATGTTTACTAAGGGCAGGTTTATCCATCTCCCTTTACGTCCTGGAACTCTGGCACATGTGATCAAGCACATCATCTCGGGGGAGGAAAATGCCTTTCCCTGAGATCTTGTGAGATTACAGATGAGATTTCCCAGCAATGCTCTGCTGATGTCACCTTCCCAGGATGCAATGCTTTGGCACGATTACATCACTTCTGCCAGGAGAGGACCGGGAAGTAGATGAACTCTAGTTGTAAGTAAATGAAAAACAAGTTTGCTTAACCAATGAATGTGAGATGATTTTATATCAGCATGCTGGGGGGGATTTTTAGGGGAAAGGTCCACTTTAATGTGATTGAGCTAAATATATGTTGCTGTTCACATAGCGACAACTTCATCTAAGCTTCACTTTGTGGCAGATACATATGAAGAAGGATATGTTGAAGCCCCCTGTCGGGACCCCCTTTGGATCTTTTATATCAGAGGGAGGCCAATGTTTCCTGGACTTCAATGCTGAGTCTCCTGATGAAGCAAAGTGTATCCAAGAAACGCGTTGTGTGATCCTCGCCCCAGTAACAGGATCAGCTCACCGATGTGTAATGAGTGGAGACGTGATTTTATACACTATATTGCCAAAATTATTGGGACACCCCTCCAAATCATTGGATTCAGGTGTTCCGTGACATTTCCTGGCTACTAAATATTCCGCGGTCGCCTGTTACTGGTATTATAACAAAGTGGAAGCAACTGGGAACAACAGCAACTCAGCCACGAAGTGGTAGGCCATGTCACATGACAGAGCGGGGTCAGCGCATGCTGAAGCGCACAGTGCGCAGAAGTCGCCAAATGTCTGCAGAGTCAATAGCTACAGACCTCCAAACTTCGTGTGGCCTTCAGATTGGCACAACAACAGTGCGTAGAGAGCTTCATAGAATGGGTTTCCATGGCCGAGCAGCTGCATCCAAGCCTTACATCACCAAGTGCAATGCAAAGCGTGGGATGCCGTGGTGTAACGCACGCCGCCACTGGACTCTAGAGAAGTGGAGACGTGTTCTCTGGAGTGACCAATTGTAGAAATGTCACCAGCACACCAATCCTTTTAAGATAGCAAAAGCTTCATTTATTGAAGTTTTTTGTCATATGATTTTTATGTCATATTGTTTGGTCATATGACAAAAAACTTCAATAAATGAAGCTTTTGCTATCTTAAAAGGATTGGTGTGCTGGTGACATTTCTACAATTGCTGACATTCGCGGCACCATCCGCGGTCACTGCGAGCACCCCCCACTATAAGGGACATATCGGTAAGGAGTGCGACAAGGATAGTACTTATTCTCTGGAGTGACCAATCACGCTTCTCTGTCTGGCAATCCGATGGACGTGTCTGGGTTTGGCGGTTGCTGGGGGAACGGTACTTGCCTGACTGCATTGTGCCAAGTGTAAAGTTTGGCGGAGGGG